GTCGGGTGACGAAGAGTTTTACCTCTTCAAGAACGGGTCCTCGGTGGGACCCTGGGACGGTCCCCAGTACCACATCGCCCCGCCGTGGGCCTTCTACCTGCAGACCGCCTTCATGGGCTTCGTCTTTTTGGTGGGCACCCCCCTCAACGCCATCGTCCTGGTGGTCACCGTCAAGTACAAGAAGCTGAGGCAACCTCTCAACTACATCCTGGTGAACATCTCCTTCAGCGGCTTCATCTGCTGCATCTTCAGCGTCTTCACCGTCTTCGTCTCCAGCTCGCAGGGTTACTTCGTCTTCGGCAAGCACATGTGTGCCTTGGAGGGATTCGCGGGGGCCACCGGAGGTAGGTGGGGGGACCACCGACGTGGGCTGGTGGGGCTGTGGGACTTGGGGTGACCACCGTGGGCTGGTGGGGCTGCAGGTAGAGGTGACCATCACGGTCTGGTGGGGCTGTAGGAGCTGGGGTGACCACCGTGGTTTGGTTGAGCTGTAGGTAGGGTTGACCACCGTGGGTTGGTGGGGCTGTGGGAGTTGAGGTGACCATCATGGGCTGGTGGGGCTGTAGGTACAGTTGACCACCGTGATCTGGTGGGGCTGTGGGAGCTGGGGCGACCACCGTGGGCTGGTGGGGGGCTGCAGGTAGTGGTGACCATCACGGTCTGGTGGAGCTGTAGGAGTTGGGGTGACCACCATGGGCTGGTGGAGCTGTAGGTAAGGTTGACCACCGTGGTTTGGTGAGGCTGTGGGAGTTGTGGTGACCACCATGGGCTGGTGGGGCTGTAGGAGCTGGGGTGACCACCGTGGTTTGGTTGGGCTGTGGGTAGGGTCGACCACCATGGTCTGGTGGGGCTGTAGGTAGAGGTGACCACCAAGATTTGGTGGGGCTGTAGGTAGAGGTGACCACTGTGGTGTGGTGGGGCAGTAGTAAGGGTGACCGCCATGGTCTGGTGGGGCTGTAGGAGTTGGGGTGACCGCCATGGTCTGGTGGGGCTGTAGGTAGAGGTGACCACCATGATCCGATGGGGCTGTGGGGGGTGAG